CGCCCGGCCGCCCCGCCCCGTCACCGACCGCCGGGGCGGGGCTCGCCCGGACACTCCCCCGCGCAGTCCCCGCCCGCGCCGGCGGCTCCGCTCCGGGCTCGGGCTCAGTCCCCGCCGCTGCTGCCGCCGGGCTCCGCCTCAGCGCCGAGAGCTGCGCCCGTGAGTGCCGGGCCGGGCGGGGGGCGCGGGGCCGAGCCCCGGGGCTGTCCCGGCTCGGGGCGGTGCGGGGCCGCGGAGCGCGGCACGGCAGGGGCAGGGGCAGGGGCCGCGCCGGCTCCCGGGGCGGGGCCGGCCGGGCACAGGAGCGGAGGCCCCGCGGTCGGTGGGACGGGACGGGGGCTGCGGGGTCCTGTCCCGGGCAGGGCGCGGGGGCGATGCCCGGTGGGAGCCGCGGCGCCCGGCGGTGATCCCTGGCACGGAGGGTCCGGGACCCGTGGGCTTTGCTCCGGAGCCGGGGAGCGGCTCCTGCCTCCCCACGGGAGCGGAGGCAGAGCTGGGACTCTGTTTTGGGGTGGGGGTCGGGCCGGGCACTCTTGGGGCACTTGCGGGCAGAGGCAGAACGGGTTAATTCGCAGCATCTTTGCTGAATCACTGTGATCCGGGGGAGAGTTCTTTTATCACGATCTCCTTGGCTCTTCTGGGATGGAAACGGGCACTTCGCGGCTCCTGCTGAAGCCCTGGATCCACTCTGGGCTTTCAGGGGGGATTTCTGTCCCGTGTCGCTGTCACTCCTTGGTCCGTATGTGTGCTAAGCCCCATCTGCGTGCAGGGAGGCTCTGTGTTTCTGACACCTGCCTGCCGCCAAAACTGTTCAGAGACATGTTTCCGCAATGAAAAAACACTGGTCAATATCACAGAAGCAAAGTACATGGATAAACCTAATTATTATCACAGGTTCTGGAAGCCTGAGTGCCCTGGGTTGCTTCAGCAGGACCAGGCTGAATATTAGAGTCCTCCTTTGGGTCTCTTATAGGAGGGCCAAAGTCGTACTGGGATGTGGGCTCTTCCAACAAGAAGCAATTGAAATAAAGGTTTGGAATCAGGACTTAAAACAGGATGCCATAGAGCTCCTTGGGGAAGGGATGGAAACTTCAGGAGCTTGGAATTTGTAGTGAAGCAATTAAACATAAAGGGGAGAAAATGTTGAGTGGCTAGCGTGAGCGTTTTTCCATCCTGCCTGGGGTAAAGACTGAGTATTTGTAAAAAAACATCTCAAGAAAAGCAAGAGCTAAGTTAACTTCTAATAAGCTGCATTAGTCATAATAAACTTGACATGTGTAGAAGGTAGTAGGTGCTTTCTTTAGTGAAGCTGATCTGCTGAATTGCCTGAAGATTTGGTAACTGGTTGTTTTGAGAATGCTCCTCCTCCTCCTCACTGCCCTGGTTGGGGTGGCACAGAGCTGGAGCTCAGGGCTTGCTCTGCAGACCATCAGCTCACTGTAGTTTGGTGGAGAACAGTCAGTTCTGGTGCTGCTCAGTGTTTGTCAGTTCAGGTGAGTCACCAATAATTTACAGTAAGAACTTGCCTTTCACATATTCTGACTGGCTGTGAAAGATGTTGTCCCTGTACAGCATAACTGTGCTGGTGGATGGAGTTTCTTCTCATCTTGTGAGATCTAAGTGGGAGAGGCAGGGAGCTCACAAAGGGGGAGAGTAGCTGAAAATGCCAAGTGTATGTCAGAGTCTTACCTTGCTCTTTTTCATTTTTAAGTTGCTGCTGCTAGAGATCCTTCCATCTCTCTGTTGATGTAGGAATCAAAGGTAACTCGAGGTTGAACAGCCTGTGGATACCAAATTGCCCATGAAAGACTATTGCCATGATTCAATCCCTTAATTCTTCTGTTTGAAAAACTAGATGAAGAACATTCAGAGCAAATCAGGTGGTCTGTGCCTCTTAACTTACAATGTATTTCTGCTCCTCGAGTAACTGCACGTTGCACCATTGCAGGGGTCTCTCCAGGAGTGGTGGTAGCCTGTAGTCCCAGCAGTGGGAATGCCTGGCAGGGCTGCTGGCATCCCTGCTGAGTGTGTGTGTGTCTGTGTGTGTGTTTTCACAGGTGCAGACGTTCATCTGACTCTTAAATGCTTTCTTTGAATTTCAGCTTGCAAACTGGTTTGCAGCTCTGTTCTGGGAGAAGCCCTGCTGGAGTTAGTGGCACTACCTGTTGCAGCAGTGTTGCTGATAAACAGCCTTGTAATCCTCTGAGTCATAACATATGAAATAAGAGTGAGTGTTTTATAAATGCAGGTATCCCGTTTGGTGTGTTGAGTATAAAGTGATGACCTGAGTGCTTTTCTTGCTTCTCACTGTGCCATTCCAGTTCTGGCTGTGCTGGGCTGTGGCAGGAGCCCCAGTGACCGTGTCACTGCTGTGTGTCCTGTCCCTGCATGCAGAGCAGTGTCACGACAGCAGGACTGTGCTTTGACACCGTCTGCTCCCACCAGAGAGGGACATCCTGTTTGGCTGAACTGTGTCAGCAATTTGTCTGACTGAATTTCACTTTAAATATTTCTAGTGGTTATCAAATGTAGGCTGCCTTGGGATATGACTGTATGTCATCTGTAATTTGCTGTCTGGACAGGAGTAGCTGTGTTGGCAAGCTTGTCCCTGCGTGCAGTCCATTGGTGTGTGACACAAGGACAGAGCTGGCTTGAGGCTGCCTGTGCTGGGGGATGGATGGAGTGTCTGCCCACCCCCCTGGTGATCACTGTATCCCATTCAGGAGGATTAAAGCATCATTGAAAGGGCATGTGTCATGAAGGGTGTCCATCCTCAGCCTTGCTGTGATGTGGTTGGTGAGTCCTTACCTCAGGTTGTACCCAAACTAAGCTACTTTCACCTGTGAAGTCGTCTAGAAATTCAGAGCTCCCAGGCTGACGAGGGAAGTAGTGAAGAGTTGGGATCACACTCGGGCATTTTGGGATGGCCTCTTGGCACATTGCTTGTTATTCAAGAAAACTGGGATGTTCAGGCAACCAGTGGAGTGGTTAGGTGTGCTCCAGAGAAGGTCCTGTGGGTAATGTGGTGGGAGAAGGAGGGAAGAGAGGGTGCTTTTGTGTGGCACATCTCGCTCCAGCACTGCTCTGCCAGGGAGGTCTGTGTGTGCCTTGTGGTTCTCGGTCCTTACACAAAGGTCACAGAGATTTCTCCATGCCCTTTCTATGTTGAGGGCTAGGTTTGTTCCAGATGATTGCTCTTGTAAATTTTTCACTCTGGTGTTACACAGCAGTGCTGTGATCAAAGATTAAATCACGCCTTTGCACCGGCTTGCAGTGTCATCCCTTTCTTTCCCTGATGAAGTCTTGATTCATCTGTACTGGACTTACATGCTGACCAAAATAACCTCATATTCACTAGTTAAAGTAACACTGATGGACATCTCTGCCTTTGAAACATTCTAGATGTGTAATTTGCGTTAATTTTATTAAGACTGCAGAGCTCTTCTGTCATGATTACTGGCGAGGTTTCTGGCTGGCTGCATCATTTCACTCTCAAGTGAGTATCAGAAACCTGTACCAGTCTCATATGGTTTTAATGCATCTGCATGTTATCCTTGTCTTGTACTTGACCAGAGTAACACCTTCAAGTGCTGGAATTTAAAAGGTCTGGTCTATTGCTAAAAGTTTACAAATTGTACTTGAGTGACAATTCCAAAAAACCCACAAAAACCATAACCAAACAAAAAAAACCCCAAACAAACAAACCCACAAAAAAACCCAAACCAAAAAACCCCCTAAAAACCAAAACAAAATGAAACAGCAAAACCCTGAAAAAAATCACTTCTTGATTTGTGAGCAGTTAAAAAAATAATTACAGAGGTTGGCAAAAGAGCTGGCATTCCAGGTTTATCTGCTGTTGGGGGATGTGCTTTAATGTACTCTCTTGAGGCATGCTCTGTCTCTAATTTGTAAAAATAGGATCCTGGTATGACTTGTTCTGTATCTTAGTATTCCTTAGTCTTCTGTTGTCTGACCTCACTATTTTCATATTTTGTTTTTTTTTACTCTTTAATCCACCTGAGATGCAGCTGGGGCTGTGCTTGTGCTGCTGGGTCCCAAAGACCTGACCTGCTGGACACTGTTTTGCCCAGGCTGTGGATTTGGGCAGGCAGCAGGGCACAGAGAGGTGGGATGTGCTGCCTTGTTCCGTGGTGAATGAGACCAACCTCATTTCCTAGGAATGAGAAGGGCAAGTTATCTTTTTTGCTTGGGAATGAACTGTGAACATTCAGTCATTTTGCAGTGTGGGGCTCTGGCTTGGCTAAATCTTTGTGCTGCCTTTAGCTGGGTGGCTGTATGTTGAAGTTTGTTAGTAAAGAGGATGGGATCAGAAGTCTTGGGAACTGTGTGGTCTTTTAAGATGTAAAAATAAACAAAGCTGAGAAGCTCTACCCTACTTAAAACAGGCTGACCTAAATTTTCAGCAATTCTAGCAGAGAGGCAGGCTCTGGGTAGGGATAAAGGCTTGCTGATGACTGGCTTCCCTGTCCTTCCATCGCTTGACAAGGTTGACAGGCCACCTTTGGCACATCAACACTGGGCTCTGAGGTCATTCACTTCCCCCTTCTTGAGCTGCACAGTCTGGCTGTGGAGTTGCCTTGTGCTTGTGTGGACAGTCCCCTTGTTATGCAAGTCAACAGTTCAGCATCTTCTGGGAAGTCACAGCAGGAATCTCTTCTCAAATTGCTTTTGTTGGAGTGTGTTGACAGCATGTTAGATGTCCTCTGGCTTGTCCCTACAGAGATTGCTGTTGAAAGTAGGTGTCTGGGAAGTCCTTTCATACTCTTTGTCTCTAGATTAATGTTCTTACTATCAATTGCAGTTCTCCACTACTGAATTATTAATTCTGCAGTGAGGGTTTTTTTCTTCTTAGTGTTCATTGACTTTCATGCTTGATTTATTTTTCTGAGCAGTTTGAAACTGGAGCATGGGAATGTTGACTAATATTAACAGATCATGTGTGTAACCTCAGAGGTGGCTAAATAAACTTTTTTAATTGGGAAAATGACATCTGTCTTTCAAAGTACTCACATTTTCCCAGGTGAAAGGTTGCTTGTGAACATGTATTGCCCTCAGAGGCACATTGCTTGTTATTCAAGAAAACTGAGATGTTCAGGCAACTGGTGGAGAGCTTAGGTGTGCTCCAGAGACAGTCCTGTGGGTAATATGATGGGAGAAGGAGGGAAAAGAGGGTTTGCAGATTCTCCTGCTAATGTGACTTTGTAGCTATGAATGCTTTCCTGGCAGAGAGCCTGCCTCTGATTGGAAAGCATTCCCCTTGGTGTTCTTGTAGGTACTGATGGTCTGCCGTGTTTTGTTCTGTGTTTGTGTGTGCTTTCTCCTGCAGGGAGATAAGAGGAGAGGAATTGTGTATCCTTTCAGCAGCCTTCTGTTAAACTTGGAATACCACAGCTCAAGCACGTGAACAGATGGATAATGGAGACTGGGGATATATGGTGAGTGCAAGTGTGCACTGGGCACAACTGGGCTTCTGAGGTCTTGCAGCAAGAATCCTTCCAGATTTGCCTCCTGAAGATCCAGAGCTTCAGTCGTGAGAGAGGGGAAACTGAGCCTGTTAAAACAGCTTTACAACAGCTTACACACCTTCCCTGGAGTGCTGCACCTCCTGTGCAGTTTGTGGGGAGTGCCCAGGTTCACATTGCTGGGGACAGGCAGCCAGGACTGAACTGATGCCTTGAGCTCAATTACCATTTTCCTAATGCAAAAGCCAAAAATAGTTTATGCTTCCTCCTTATTATTTTAAGGACTTCTTTCATTTTATTTATCGAGACAAGTATTTTTCCTTGTAAACCTTGTCTCAAGCTAGACAAGCACATCTTATTTTCCTCCCCTTCTCATTCTGCTGCCATGCATATGTCTCTTTTCTCTGGCTGGCTGCAGTCCTGGTTTTTAGAGTTGGTGGCCAGATGGGATTTATGTTCCTTTCTCTTTTGCTTCCTCATGTGCTATCTGGAATCTGATACAGACTGGTTTGTGCTCTCCTCCCCACTTCTATGCGACACACTAATTTGTTAATAAATATTTCTTTCTAGAGTTAAAAGCTGAAAGTTCTTTTTCTCCCTTGCCTGTTTTAATGAAGTCTCTGAGCCAAAGTGTGGATAATTTTGATTGTGAGCTCTTGGTCCTGTGTTTAAACCTGCACTGTCTTCCTCTTTTGAGGGATAAAAAGAGGCTTAACATTTGTTTGGCTGATTTTTTTTCTTTCCCTTTTTTTTTTTTTTTTTGGTTTTGGTTTTGTTCTAGAATGAGAGACAGATTGTGAAAGTAAGGAACACTGCTGGGCCTCATTCTAACTTGTTCTTCAGGAAATTTCTCTGTTCTCATTTCCCCATCTGTAGAATAGGAAAAACTTGCTGCCCGAATGCTAAACTCGATCTTGCGACAGTAGCTCAGTTGTTAAGATTTCTAAAGCATTCTAGAAACGTGCATTCTGCATGCTAAGTATCATCCTGTCTAGTTGCCAGTTGTGCCTTGTTGCTAGGTGGCTTGGATTTGTTCAGGTTTGAAGAGCCTTTAGAGGCATTAAACAGGAGAAGCGTGATTCCCCCAGTTTTCCAGCAGTATTTGCCGTGTGTGTCAGCAAGGTGATCGAATCTTCTTGTTGGGGCTTGATAAACTCTGCGATTTCTCTCTTTCTAGATGACTGATCCAGTCACGCTAAATGTGGGTGGACACATGTATACGACCTCCCTCACAACTCTAACGAGATATCCTGACTCAATGCTCGGGGCCATGTTCAGGGGAGACTTCCCCACTGCCAGGGACTCTCAGGGCAATTACTTTATTGACAGAGATGGACCACTTTTCCGTTATGTTCTTAACTTTTTAAGGACCTCAGAGCTCACTTTGCCACTGGACTTCAAGGAGTTTGACCTGCTCCGGAAGGAAGCAGACTTCTATCAGATTGAACCCTTAATTCAGTGTCTTAATGACCCCAAGCCGCTGTATCCTGTGGATACCTTTGAGGAGGTGGTGGAGCTGTCCAGCACCCGGAAGCTTTCCAAGTACTCTAACCCGGTGGCTGTGATCATCACGCAGCTCACCATCACGACGAAAGTCCACGCGCTGCTGGAAGGCATTTCAAACCACTTCACCAAGTGGAATAAGCACATGATGGACACCAGGGACTGCCAGGTGTCCTTCACCTTTGGGCCATGCGATTACCACCAGGAAGTGTCGCTGCGAGTGCATCTCATGGAGTACATCACAAAGCAAGGCTTCACGATCCGCAACACCAGAGTCCATCACATGAGCGAGCGTGCCAATGAAAACACAGTGGAGCACAACTGGACTTTCTGTAGACTGGCACGGAAAACAGATGACTGATTCTGACTCCACAGGAGCCACTTCAGTGATTAGCAACTTAATTGGACAGTGAACCCAAGAGAGTCTGGATTTTGACTAAAGCAACAATATGGGCTTTTTTTATACGAGTATTTATTGTTTATCAGTGAGGACTGGAGGAGTTTCATTCTCTAGCAGCTCTGTTCTTTTGTCCAGTTCAGAAAAAAAACCGTGCATGTGCCTGTTCAGTCAAGACACCTTTTTGTTTGAAAGAGGGAGTCCGAAGAATCAGTACAATAGGGTATTTTGTGTCATTAACACAATTCTCTGACTCGACTCAAAGTGCTAAAATTACCTCTTGTTTAAATGGTTTCTAATCCACCTAATGCTATGACACTGGGAGCAAGAAACAAAAAAAAGATTTTAAAATGCAGTTGGGGAGAAGCTGCTATTGTGTAGACTAATTTAGTTTCTAAATCAATAAACAGTATTGTAATATTCTAGGAAAACAAATCCCACCCTTTAAAAGTACTTGATAAGTACAGTTTCTTACAGTTATGACAACTGTTTCTTTCTATGCATATAAATCAAGCAACCAAATATTATCTGTAGCCATGGAAATATGATTACAAATATTTATATTGGATTCTAAATGCAAAATGTCCCTGTGGTAGAATTCATATTTTTAATGCCTGGTGCAATATTATTCCCAAGTGTAATGCCTGCCAGAAGAAGCTAATAAAAATGTGAAATACAGAATACTGTTTTGTATTTTCTTTTTGTCTTTTAGAATTCTCATACTTTTAGAATTCTCATACAAAAAAACCAAACCCAACCAAACAAAAAACCTCCCACTCAAATCCTGGTTTTTTGTGCTGCGGAGTAGTTTGGGTGTTCTCGTAAGGCCCTGGTTTCTTCCATTAATGATGTAAGTTGTTCCTTCTTATGTTAATCAGTTGATTAAAATGTCTTCATTATAGACAAAGCTTGTGTTCTGAAAACTGCTTTAGATGATAGAAAGATGGCAAATATTTGTACTGGCTAAAGGGGTAGGGATGGAGGGAACACAAAGCCTAAATACTTGTAGCTGCTAATAGAGTTGCCTGGTTTGTCAGCACTTCATGTAGTGACTTTATAATTCTAACTGCAGAATGCTTTTTCTAGTTATGTTCGAATCAAGGCACTCAAATTCTGTGGCTTTACTCAATTTCATACAGACATTTCTACTTACCCTGGTCCCTTGATCATAGCTATTAACAGAATTTCTGGTTATGATCTATCTTGGTTGCAGCAGGCAGTAAGGGAGTTGGTATCTGTTTCGTGGAGTGGATCCTGTTTTCCCATTAAGTTCTTGTCCCAAGTAGGTAGGAGCTTTCCATCCCATATCTGGCTCTAAAGGCTGTCTTGGGGGTATTTCTCTGTCCTATTTTGTCTCTTCCTGTTCATACGTTGCAGGTGTTTGACTTATGTAATAAGAGGCAGCAATGAGAGCTTTATTCTTGCTATCAAGGAGGGAAGAGAAGCAGAACTGAAGAAGCTCAGGAAAAGTTGTTTCTTTCTTGCAACACATGGTAAGAAATATTCGTGTTAACTGGCATTGAATTATAATCACAAGATGTTCTTTGCAACACTTAATTTATGAGCAAATTAATGACTGGCCTGGATCAGCTTGCCCTTTCCATAATTATGAAGTATAATAATTAGAGAAGCAGTATTCCAAATAATGCACTTTATTGGAGCTCAAGATTTATAGGAATGAGCAGCTCTATTAATGGGAAGGTAAATTCTGCAGACTGGAGCTGGCATCAGCTTTGTCTGCATCTTCATTAGGCAGGAATATTCCAGTACTGAGCAAATCAAGAGCTATTTTAATTGTCAAAACAGATGCACTTTCTAATATAGTTTCTGATTGAAGAGAACAACTTGTTCCTAAAAACAAAGGATCGTGATTTCACCATGGATTTTTCAGGAAAGTTGGTTGTTCTGGGTTTTTTGAAGGCACTATATGGTTACAACACACTGAGAGAGGGTTCACAGTGTGGTGGTGTTTTTTTTTTTCCTCAATCATCATATAGTGGATTTAGAAAGAGAATAAGAAAGTCAAATGAGAGAGTTTTGATGCTGTCAAGACACTTCAGGATAGAAAACAGTGAACCCTGGACCATTCCTGACTAGATTGTCTCACAGCAGCAGGTACCACTCAGCACTGCTGGCATCTGTCTAATTGCAAATGGCTGGCTGAGAACCTTTCCTACTTGTTGTAACTGCAAGTAAGCAACTGATTATTAATTTTGATTAGTCATTACTGATGCTTCATAAATGTACTGCTGCACAAAGAACAGGAGGAAATGTGTGCCCTTCGCTTTGAACACGTTCTTCATAATTTCGATAGCGTGTTGTGCAGAAGGGGCTTCAAATACCTCTCGTAGGCTGGGCTCATCTGTTCAGAAAGAGAATGTGGAAGGGAATTACGGCAATTAAGAAGGGAAAGGCTATTTTTTTTTCTTAAGAACAATCTCTGAAATACATAAAGCTGGACTACTTAAAAAAAAAAAAAAAAGCAACCAACAAACCAGAAGCTACCTCAACTATGTGCAAGAACTTTTTCCCTATAATATGTACTGTCCTTCATAACCAGCACACCACACTCATCCCAAAGGGGACAGCATACTGTTTAACCTCAGAAAATATGCTTGGACTTGAATATTTGCTGAAGGCAAATTTTGTGTTCAACTGTGGAATTTCAAAGGGATACCGATTACCACAGTAAAAATCTCACTCAAGGCCAAATGAGTTTTCAAACACAGCAATACATATTTACATCACAAAAAATTTTTACATTGCTCCACAGTATGGATGAATTGAGAAAGCAGAGCTCTAAAGATCGTGAAGGATCAAATTGCCTTGTTTAACACTTATACTCTCTCTGGTTAAACATTTAAAATCCCAAGTTTTGCACTAGTAGAAGCATTAGTGTATAGAAAATACCCTGCATTTCGTGCTGTTCTATAATACGTAAAAAGCCTTTTATTTTAGCTTATTCTGTACAACGTGATGCAAAGACAAATTAAAAGCTCTTGTCTCTTATCTGTATTGCTTTTGTTAGAAGAAAAGCAGTTTCTGCCCTGGCTGCTGTGGAGGTTGCCCAGCTGCAGTTCATCCCTACCTGGTTGGTGGGTGACTTCTGAGCCCACTCGTAGAGCCGCTGGTAAACCTGCCCATCGTAGCTGCCCAGAGCAGAGTTCAGGCTCTGGTCTGTGAAGTCAAAAGCGTCCACCAGTGGCACAGCATCCTTCCTACAGAGCACAGGAGTGACATTCCTGTTACTGAGAGGCTACTGCTTTGCAAGATAGGAAAATAAACTTGGCAGTTTCCAGGCTTCTCCTGGAAAGCTCATGCCAGTTTTCCTCCTTATCTTTACTGGGGGGAGGAAATCTTGCTCGTTCTGATTCCTCAGAGACATCTCCAGGTGACCCTGCCTTGGCAGGGAGATTGGACTAGATGATCTCCAGAGGTCCCTTTCAACCCTAATAATTTTGTGATTCTGTGATGTTCTACTAATGCCCTGAGTTGTCTGCACTGCTGAGTGGGTGTTTGCAGGGTCTTCACCCTGGCTCCGTCCCTAACTCAGGACTCATGTCAGATTTTTTCTCAGTAGTCTCTGCCAGTTTGTTCTTTTGATTTTTGTCTTTCTTAGTTTCATTTTTCTAAAATGGAATAAGGTTCCTACTAGATTGATGTGAAGTTGCTTTGCTGATCTTCAACCTTCATCTGCCTTTCAGTACTTCCATTATCTCATCACAAGGTGTTGAGCTCTTCTATTCTGTTCATATCTGTAAGAGCAAAACAACCCTGACCCATCCAAGGGCCCATCTAGCCCAGGGGACAGTGTGACAGCACGGAGAGCCACAGCACAGGCAGCATCTCCTAAGCAGGAGGTGGTTTCTTTTTCCTCATCCTTCCATCATGCTGGGGGTAGGAAGTGGTGCTGGCTGTACCTCACACCTGAGGTACCAGGATGAAAAGTAGTTTGCTCAAATGTGGGCATTTCTATCTTCCAGTTTCCTTTGGAGAAGAGTTGTCTGAGGTTTGGGAAAGGCTGTGTTTTTGCTACAGACTAGGGAGTGGTTACATCCTTTCTACTAACTGTAAATATGTAAATACTCCATTTTTGAATCCTGTTAACAAGGCATGGACTAACACAGAAATTGCAGTGAATTCCAAAGACAACATGTTAGGCTTTTGAAAATGTTATGTTAGGCTTATCACTTATTTCACATTCTGTTATCAGTTCTGAAAACCCTTGCTGTTTGGCTCAGCCCTGTTCAGCCCTTGCTTATAGTGTGTTCTTGTTTCCCTCCAGGTGGCTTAGGTAGAATTTTAGCTACAGTAGCAACTCCTCTGCACCACAAGTTACTATGTTCTAAACAAACAGCACAGAGTAGTGAAAGCTGAACTCTTTGTCAAAAAGCCTCTGTGAGTGTTGTGGTAAGTGAAAACCTTAACTCAGAACTCAGAGTTGGTAATAAATGGTGTCGAGCAGATGCATCTGAAGTAGCTGTAGGCAGGATTGTTTGGGTACCAGTTGCAGCTCAGCCATGGCAACAGAGTAGGCTGTATTAGCTGTGGCTTAAGCAGATTTTCCAATGTGTGATGGGTTGCTGTGGCTGCCTCCTGCCAGTGTGCTCTGACTACATATTTTCCTGCTTTCACTCTACTGCAGATGGTAGAAAGTGTTCATGACTTCTTCATTTATAATTTAAGACTTCATGTTACAGAACTTTAGAGATTGCAGAGGAGCTGGACACTTGAGTCTGTTTTGCCATGAAAACAAGCTATAAGTAGACATTTCAATCAATTTCTAGTACTGCCAGGCACTGGAAATAAAAACTGAATGAGGTGAATTGACTGTGGAGATGTTGCCATAGGTACAGCAGCACCCTTTTCTATCTAGCACAGGGATAAACTGGATAGCTGTGTGTGTCCTGCCAAAGCAGCTCACCGAATGACAGCCAGGAGGTCCAGGTAGGATGCTGTGACCATGTCCATTTGAGCTGCAGATGTGTAGCCATCATGCAGGAAGGCCCCTGTATTTGAGAAGATCCCGTGTAGTGCAAAGAGGTCACAGAGATGTTTCATAATCTTCTGGATGCCAGCCTTGGTCTCGAGTTTTTCCACAGTTTCTGCAAAGTTTTTCACTGCAATGTAGTGGCAGTGAGCCTGGAAAACAAATGCAATCAACAGTGAATGCACCTCAAACACTTTAGTAGGCCAAATGACTCAAACGTTCTTGCAAAGCATATAAAACCTTTTCATTTCCCTGGCATTTCTCCAGTCTGTATCCTTTGTTTGCTGGGTGACCAGGCCTTTTGCATTCATGGCTTACAGCGACAGCAGGAGACAGAATGTGTAAACAGTCAACACCATGATATTTGTAAACTCCAGAAAACTGCTTCAGAAATCATGCTGGTACTTATTCTAAATAGTTCTGATCAATATCCCAAAGAGTTTCTGTGAAGGAAACACATTGGAATGTGCTTGTGTTGAAAGTGAATGTTGGTTGTACACCCACAGGAGAAAACTTCTGTTGAAGGCCTTGGGCTCATGGTGCTTTGGGATCAGTGTCTACAAGGCTTCAGCTCTGGAAACACCATTGTCAGAGATAAACAACCAAATTTACCTCCCACTTTTGTGGTTTTAAGTAAACTGGTAATTTTGGGGTCACACACCAGTAGAATGTCTGACCCAGAAATGACAGAAATATTAGCAGAGGTGCAGAGGAGATGAATTAAGCTGACTCT